AAATGGGGATAATATTTGTACCTACCATATAGGATTGCACTAAGGGTTAAATGATTTAAGACAGATAAAGCCAGTAGGGCATGGCTCGAGGAAGTTGGTCTTAGAGAAGCCAGCCCTAGAAGTTGGCCCTAGAGAAGCCAATTGTGGAGACTCTGAGAAAGAGCTGGGAGGAGGCTCTGAGGGCAGGTAAATCCTATTATTATTTATTTAGTCATTTGACAAACAGTTACTGTGCTTCTAGCATGTTCCAACACAAAAGGCACTGGGGAGCGGGCGCGGCTTGTTTTCTCTCATTGTCATTGTTGGCACTCGGTGTGGGCAAGCTGTAAGTGACAACTGATATTCTTGAAAGAATAATAGCATTAGGACAGTTGTTGCTTGTCTTCGTGGGACTTTCACTCTTACAAGGGACACTGTGATTAACAGGCAATGACACAGGTGATTAGGAATAATTTCATTTGTGGTGAGGGGAAGCCTGAGAACACATAAAGGAGGCCTGGCCCAAGATGGAGGTCAGGACAGGCCTCTTGGAGCAGGTGATGAGCAAGCTGAGACTTGGACAAGAGGAGTGATCAACAGGCTACATTGCTTTCTTGGGGCTGCTGTAATAAATCGCCACAAACTGAGTGGCTTAAAACAGAACTGGCTTCTCTAACAGTTCTAGAATTCCAAACTCAACGTGTCAGTGGGGCCGTGCTCTCTCTAAAGGCTTCAGGGGAGAGGGGAGAACCCTTCCTTGCCTATTCCGAGTTTCCGGCAGTTACTGGCATTCTTTGGTTTGCTTGCAGCTTCATAACCCCAATCTCTGCCTCCATGGCCACTTGATCTTCTTCCTGTGTGTCTGTAGCTCTCTGTTCTTCTTCTCTTATAAGGACACCAGTCACTTTGGATTTAGGGCCCTCCTTAATCCAGTATGACCTCATCTTAACTAATTACATTGGCAAAGACCCTATTTTCAGATGAAGTCACAGCCACAGGTACCTGAGATTAGGACTTCGATATATCTTTTTGGAGGATCTGAATAGACATTTTTCTAAACGAGACATACAGAAGGTCAACAGGTACACGAAAAGATGCTCAACATCACTAACCATCAGGGAAATGCAAATCAGAACCACAGTAAGATATCAACTCACACCTATCAGAATGGCTATTATCAAAAGAGCAAGAAATAATGAGTGTTGTCAAGGATGTGGAGAAAAGGGAACCATATTGCACTGTTGGCAGGAATGTAAACTGGTACAGACACTATGGAAAACAGTATAGAGTTTCCTCAAAAATTAAAAATAGAACTACCATATGATCCAGCAGTTCCACTTCTGAGAATATCTCTGAAGAAAATAAAAACACCATCTCGAAAAGATATCTGCAACCCCATGTTCACTGCAGCATTATTTACAATAGCCAAGATATGGAAACAACCTAAGTGTCCACCAATGGGTGAATGGATAAAGAAATGTGATCGATATATATATATATACACACACACACATATATATATAAAATCTCTTGTCTTTTTGATGACAGCCATTCTAACAGGTGTGAGGTGATAGCTCATTATGGTTTTGATTTACGTTTCCCTGAAGATTAGTGATGTTGAGCACATTTTCATGTACCTGTTGGCTGCTCATATGTCTTCTTTGGAGAAAAGTCTGTTGAGATCCTCTGCCCATTTTTTCATTGGACTGTTCGTATTTTTTTTAACATGGCTACTAGAATATTGAACATTATATCTCACACTATGTTTCTACTGGACAGCGCAGCTCTAGATTTTTTTTGGTGTGGTGAAATTTGTTCATGAAATAATTTTATTTTTATGAAGTATAATATATATATAATATATATGTGTGTATATATATGTATATAGGCGAGGCAACCCTTGGTTGACCTCACAGATTGCAGGGACCTTGTCAGCTTACGATCCCTTATTTTTTTATTTTTTATACCTACAGCACCTGGTCTTCCTAGGTGATCTCCCATCCAAGTACTAACCAGGCCCGACCCTGCTTAGCTTTTTTGAGATCAGACGGGATCGGGCTTGTTCAGGGCGGCATGGTCATAGACAGTATTTTTATATTTAAAACAACCATTTTAATTTTAGTTAAAAGATGTTAACTAAACTTATTGTGGTGATTATTTTGCGATATATACGAATACCGAATCATTATGTTGTACACCTGAAACTGCCATAATGTTATATGTCAATTATACCTCAATTTAAAAATTATTTTAAAATAAGTAAAATGAATTTTTAGCATCATTTGAAAAAGAAAAAAATAGTTTTATAAATAGAAAGTTTCTTTCTGCTGTTGTGTGGATTTGAGAGGTCAGAGGTGGCAGCTAGAAGGCCAGGAATGAGGGGTGGACTGGGAGAGGAGTGTTGGAAATGAGAATGACAACAATAGCAGTAACACTTCACACTATGTGGTGGTGGTTTTGTGCCAGACAGTGTTCTAAGCATTTTGCATATTCATTTCATCCTTCTCCCAAGCCCGAGGAAGTAGGCACCATTATTACCCATTTGGCAAATGAGGAAACTGTTGCACAGACAGGTAAGGTCACCTGGCTGAGACACCTGTCTGCAGCATCTTCAAAAGTGGTCATGACTATTGTGCTGCTTTTTTGGAGTATGAAGACAACTTGGGGCAGATTATGAGTGGCACGACAGACCCTGGTAAGGGAGGTAATAGAGGCTAGGGCGCAGGCAAGGGCTGGGGAGCAAGAGCCAGTGGGGGTGAAATGCAGCATCAATTCAGGACCTGGGGGATGTCCCAGAGGCCACACAGGTGAGGCTAGACCCTGGTCTGGAGACAGAGACCCAGGTGGGGAGCTGATGTTGTGGCTGCACTTATAGGGGAAGGGTGAAGGAATCCAGTGCCCCACACACTCCTCCTTAAGCAAACTGATCTGTGCCGGGCTGGTGGAAGAGGTGGTCAGTCATCAGACCAAACAAAAACAGAAAGGTGTTTTTGACCCCCACAGCCCACGTGTCCCCTGTGAGGAAATAAATTCTTTCATTTCACAAGTTGTTCATGGTACCTACTGTGGGCCAGGCCACACGCTGAGTGTTAAGGACCCAGCAGTGACTCAGATGGACAGAGTCCCCTGCCCTCGGAATACGATTGGAACAGAAGTAATAGACATAGAAATTATATATGTATAAAATGGGTGCTGTGGTTTGAATGTTTTTGTCCTTCCTTCATACATTGAAGCCCTGACTCCCAATGTGATGGTATTTGGAGGTGACGAGGGTTAGATGAGGTCATGAGGGTGGCGTCCCCATGATGGGAATAATGCCCTTATAAAAAGAGGCCGTGGGAGGACATAACCAGGAAGAAACCTTCACCAAGATCCTGGCTCTACTGGTACTCTGATCTCAAACTTCTACCCTCCAGGACTGTGAGAAATTAATGTCTGTGGTTTAAGCCTCCCAGTCTGCAGTATTTGTTACAGCAGCCAGAGCTGACTCAGTCAGGCTGTAGTAACTGCTCTGGGAAAAATATGGAAGCTAAGGGGTAAGAGTCCAGGGGTGGGAGGACTTTTGAGGAAGGTTATCCTGTGGAGGTGACATTTGAATAAAGTCCTGAAGGAGGTTGAGGGGGAGCCATGCAGATATTTCAGTGAAGAGAGGGAACAGCAAGTACAAAGGTTCTGAGGTGAGACAGTACCTGTTGGGTTTGAGAAAAGAGGCAGGTGTGGGTCAAGAAAAGTGAGAGAGAGGAGGGAAAGTTAGGACAGTGACTGCCCTTTTGCGTCCTCTCCTTCATTTCCCACACCCTCTTCCGAATCCTCTTCTCACTTCCTTCAGCCAGCTGAGGACAGTGCCCCTGGGCTGGCCACTAGAGGCCACCCTCTCTGTGGTCCACGGTGTCACTACACTGTCATCTTGCCTTTCAGGTGGTGTCTGGCTTTCTCAGAGCCCTAACTGTGCCTCAAACGCCACGCTAAGAGCTTTACACGACGAACTCGGTTCCTTCGTCTAACATTCTTCTGAATTACATGCATTGAAAAATTTTTACAGCTTTACCGAGGTATAATTGACATACAACAAACCACACACATTTAAAGTGTACACTCCAATGAGTTTTTGCATCATGGGAATCCTCACCACAATCTAAATACTAAATATACTCACGACTCCAAATAGGATCCTCTCGCCTTGTTCAAATTCATCCCTTTCATCTCTCCCACGCCACCCTCAGGCGACTCTAATGGTATTAGGAGGTTGCACTTTCCAGAGTTTAGTATAAATGGGACCAGAGAGTATATAGTCTAAGTTTTTGTCTGGTTCCTTTCTCCCAGCAAAATTATTATGAGGATTTGTCTATGTTTTGGCATGTATTTGAGCCCCCTGTTGCTCATAGGAAAACTGAGGCACACAGAAGTGTGGCTGGGATGCGGGGAGAGAAGCGGGGTGGGGCGAGGTTGTCACACACCGGTTCGGCCCCAGGCCCAGGCAGGTTCTGGGTGTCCGTCGTGGGCGGGCCCGGGGGCGGGCCCGGCACTAAAGCCTCATGTGGCTGCCTCTGGGGCACAGTGCTCTTAGCTGACATCAGGCATAAGAAGTCTGAGCCAGCAAAGGCCACCAGGAATTCTAGGGCATGAGCCCTGCCCATGTGGAATGAAGACTGCATCAGGATCCCCAGCGGGGCCCAGAGAGCATGCCAAGAGGAGGCCTCGAAACTGTGCTACAAAGTATGTTCCTTGTACTAAAATGGCGGCGGCGGTGACAGCGCCCCGCGCCGGACCCGGGGGCGTAGCAGCCGCGTTGGGGGCTGACTAGCGCCTTCCTGGGCGCTCGCGTCCCGGCCGCGTCCTGGCC